ATAATCTGAGGGTGAGTACCACAGTACTGCCATACTGTCGCCTACTGTGGGGTTACATCAACATTATTACTGACTTTTTTCTAGTCACAACCAAACACCCACTAATGTCCACCAACTATCTGACAACATCACTGATTCCTCTCTGATATTTCAAGTTCCAACAACAGAGAAAAAAAACAACATAAAACATGTTGATGGAAAGAGACTGAAACACAAAACACAACTGCTTTGAAATCATATCAGCAGAGACAATCCTGTGATGGTTATGAGTTTATCAACTAATGTAAATCAGGATCTAAGTGGCCATCAGTTGAACATGTTGATGAATCTTGACCTGAGAGTTTCCAGTGTACAGTGTGAACTCTTCAGTCCATCAGACAGAAGGTTCACTCCTGAATCCTTCAGGTTGTTGTTACTCAGGTCCAGGTGTCTCAGATGGGAGGACTGGGAGCTGAGAACTGAGGACAGAGCTTCACAGCTTCTCTCTGAGAGGTCACAAACACTCAGCCTACAGAGACAACAATGAACAGGAAAAAAAAATATTTGTGTTAAAATGCAATCCTCTTTGATTAATGAGTCTGGACTGAAGTCAAATCTAAAGGACCAAAGATCTCAGTTAGTACTTCAGGTAACAGGACACTAACAGACCTGCATTATAACACTGAGTCAAGAACACTTTAAATTTGTTCAGTAAAACTGAAATATCAACTTCATCCAGATGGTAACAAGTGAGGACCCACTAAATTTGGTGATCTACAGTTTAATCTCTTCTGAGCACAGATTAAAATCCTTACAGTTAATTATGATTAAATCATAAATAAGGAGTCAATCCAAATAAATGTAGTTAATCTGTTAACTTAACGGGAGCAGAACCACGTCTCAACCACACCTCTAATCACCTGCTAAGCCTACTTATACCGGGTCAACCCATCGTACCCTGTTTGTCTCAAGATTTCTCAAGCTCAGACAGACCACGCGTCTCACCAAACGCTTCATAGAGAAAACTTCCATTCAAACGTAAAGATTGTCTAACGTTACCTACCATGGATCCAGTACTGCAGATCTACCCGACCGATTCAGATGTCGAAACGTTTGACGATCTGTTTGATACCGGTCCACCAGACTCACAGCCGCAACCAGACTGCAGCCAAACATGCCGGCGCAGTCGCTTGCGTTCAGTGGTCAGCGTACCTCAGTCCTGGCGTCTCCATTCAAGCTCCGCCAACGAGATCTCTCCGACTCCAACTCAGACCGCGGGGGTCTGCAGATCTCAGGCCTCCTCTCCTCCTTCTGCGAGGACCAGACACCGCGGGCACGGGCGTAGGCGCCAGCTCCAACCCTCTCCTCATCGGCAGCTGACCCCATCGCCTAGGCTTCCAGCTCCTGGCTCTTCACCACAGCGCACCCGCGGTGCGCCCTCATCTGCGAGCTGGCAGTCTCCGCGTCCTCAAACTGAGCCCAATATCAGGGACTGGACCGTCACTCGCCTCCAACGTTTCCTGCGGAGCGAGGGCATCCCATTTCACCCCAACGCCAACAAAACCACACTTTTTCGACTGTATTCAGCCTCTATCAACGCAGCAACAGACTCCATACCTCCCGCTCTTCAGGCTTCCTCACCCGTGCCACCAACTGTTGGTGTTGTCAGGCGTGACATCACAGGGCCGTCGCTGCCTCAGCCACAGCCTGCATCATCAGCCCCCTCTGGTGGGGGCCAGGTTGTATGTCCCCCTGTGCCTGCTCCCACTGTTCCTGAATTTTCTCAGATGATTTCAGCTTTCTTTTCATCCCTGTCTTCGCAGGCTTCCCAAAATCCCTGTGCACATACATCCTTTCATCCCATCATCCCTTCCTCTACCCTTCCTTCAGCCGTTCCCAGCAACATGGCTTCTGCTCCTCTTTTTTCTGCAATTGCCAACGCAGCAGCAGGAGAGCTTCAGTCAGCAACTCAAGGGGTCCCACCACAGGCTAACCAACTCGGTGATCTCCAGCCTCCTCCTTCACTTCCAACTGGTCTATCCTTTCCTTTTCTCACCCTACCACAGCATGCACTGTCACTGCTCCAGTACCTCGCTCACATCCATCTTCCTCACGCAACACCACAGTCTTTAACCGCCTGTCACCTGCCGCACCCCCACCTCCCATCATTCCTAGGCCCACTAACATACGTCCTTCGGTCAATGTCCCCATGCCAAAGGGGGTCGACAGACGGGGAAGGCCGATCCTCTACCAGGGCGGCAGGATGGTGTGCAACAATTTCAACCACCTGGGCTGCGCTCTTTCCAACTGCCATGTCTGCTCCTTCTGCGGCGGTGTGCATGCCAGGAGCACCTGCCCCCACAATCCAACCACAGCTGCAGACCAACTTGTACAGCACCTCAGCACCCCCATTCAGATAAATGTCCTTGCCACCGCTCTACATAACCATCCTAATATTCAGCTTGTTCATTTTCTCATAGATGGCTTCACACATGGTTTTCATCCCGGTATGGCAGTTCTCCCTGACATTTCCCATGTCTGTCACAACCTCCAGTCTGCTCTTGCAGAACCTCACACCATCGACACCCTGTTGGCTAAAGAGGTCAAAGAAGGATTCATGATAGGCCCGTTCGATATTCCTCCTTTTCCACTGTTCCGCATCAGCCCAATAGGTGTTGCCACTCGCAAATACTCTGGAAAAAAGAGGCTAATCATGGACCTGTCTTCCCCACATGGCTCACACATTCCAAGCATCAACAGTGTCATTCCCAGTCCGGATTTCTCCATGCAATATGCAACCATCGACCATGCCATCACCCTCATTCGGCTAGCAGAACATGGAGCTTGGCTTTCTAAAGCAGACATCACCAGCGCATTCAAAGTTTTGCCCA